CCGCTGGCCCCCAGTAGACTATAAATTAAAATGGGATGGGGTCGGATGGGATGGGATGGCCTTCACTCCACAAACACTGTCTTCCTTGAAACCTACAGGAGTTTGAGGTTTGGAAAGGATGGGCATATATATAGAATATGAGCTGGTAATGAGTTTCTATCCGTTGTGTCCTTGTCCCTATGTTCAGTCTTTAGGTTCAACTTAAAATCAAAAGCATTCATCAAAGTGGTATGTTCTGGGCTCGGTTGGTAGAGTGCTTGCCTAGCAGGCCTGAAGTCTTGGGTTTCACTGCCCCCCTCCCCAGCACTCCCATAAACAAGGCATGGTGGCACATGTGTGTAATGCCAGAACTCAAAAGACAGAGGCAGGAGTTCAAGGTCACCTTCAACTACATAGTAAGTTCAAGGCCAGCCTGAGATGCATGATATCCTGTCTCAACTACATAAAAAAGTGAATGAATGGATGAATAATTGTGCAAATGAATAGACTATGTTCTAAGTATTGCTTAGAATTAAGCATCAGGAAGAGGGAAAGAAATCTCAGGCTTGATTAATACTTTCTTATGAGAGGAGTAGGGCCTGGAGCAGAACTGTGCCCTTGCCTCTCAGGAGAGGGAGCCTGGTCCTTCCACTGCCAGGAATAATTGGTGATGTCTAGATATCTCCTATCTGCCCCTCTCCTAAAGTCTCTGTTCCATCCCTCAAACACAAACAGGCTGATGAAATCCCTTCAAACTCTGCCAATGCAAACTGTGTCTTAAAAATGGAAATGAACTGAAACTGCACACTAATACCTGCAAGGACATTAAAGCTTTACGTTCCTGTGTAGAACATGAGGCCCAGCCTGCATCAGTATGCTTTCAATGGCTTAATGGTAAATGTTGAACAAATTAGTGTCCCCTTAAGGTTGTCCTGGGGCACATGGAGTCACAGTCTTTAATTTTAATGTGACTCTATTACACAATCTCTTATCGCCTCTTAACTGCCAGGAAAATGACCACCAGCTTAATGTTCAGCAAAATAGCTCACTTGGACCTCAAAGAAATTACCTTGAAATTATTACACTTAACCGTGGCCAATGCACCAGGGTTCATTTGAGAAGAGGCGGCCACCTGGCACTTCCAGCAAAAAAGATACATCATTTCCTTGGACATTTCAGGCTTAGCTTTTTCTGGCCTTATCTGATTTGATGCACATTTTCTTTTGAATATAAATGTTCAAAGTGCAGGTGACACTGAGTTCCTTTCCTGATTGACAGGGCCACATAGCTTCAATTGAGGAGACTGTACCTATGACAGCTAGTTTATGTCAATTTGACACAGGCCTTGTTACACAAACTAGGAAACCTTCTCCACTGTGGCCAGGCCATCCAGAAGTAACACAGCCTTGGTCACCACAGTTGCTCAACAGCTGCCCCTGTTTTTTGTTGTTGCTTTGTTTTGTTTTTTCTGTTAGTGCCCCAGCACCCCATTTCCAGCAAAGACCTCTTGACCCAGGTTTTCTCCCAGACAAAACCAAGTTTATCACATTTTCCCAACTAAAGGTACAACAGTCTGAGTCCAAATGAGAGACAGAACCCACATAGCCCACTAAACATGGGGTGTAACATAAAAAGAAACTATGATAAAGGGAAAGCATAAGATATAGGCACCCCCAACGCTGACAAAGCATGTCCCAGGAAGGACAGACATGGAGGGTTTCCAAATGCTGAATGCTGGAGGTAAAACTTCCTTTACCAACTTAGGATCTCCACCTGGGCCTGGCGAGTAAGTTGTCCTGCGACAGAGCTGTTACTAGATAGATTGTTTGGGGAATAGAGCATTGGCTCAGATTTGGGGTTTGTAGTGATACATTTTTTATGATTTATTAAAACATGACTGAGGATTCAGAAAAGCCGTTAGCCACAAGCCTTAGCAGCCAGGCACACACCTTTGATCCCAGCAGCCAGAAGCATGAGATGGTGGTGATACACACCTTAAATCCTAGGACTCAGGATTAAGAGATAGACAGATCTCTGTGAGTCCAAGGCCACCCATGTCTATACAAGAGTGAATCAGTCTAAAAGGGAATGACGGCTCACACCTCTTTAATCCCAACATTAGGGAAGTATATAAAACAGAAGCAGGTCTCAGAGAGGCATTCATTCTGCAGCCACGCTGGGGAAAAGCTACAGATTGAAGCTTGGTGAGAGAGCTGGTGGAGACAGGACCAGCCCATTCAGCCTGAGGTAGAGGTAAGAAGCTAGTGGCCAGCTGCTGTGCTTTTCTATATTCAGCTTGAACCCCAGTATCCATCTCTGGGTCATTTATTTATTCGTGTTACAGGAGTTGCACAGGGTCTTTAAAGCTCTTGTATCGGCTCCCTACCACACTGTAACAACATACATAAGAACACAAACTTAGAGACTTAAAGCCACATGAATCGGTTTTTTATCTTGGAGTCTGTAGGTAATCTGGCGTCAGTGTGAATGGCTGAAGCCAAGGGCTCAAAGGCGCCACCTTCTGGACGGATGCACCCCTGCATCCTTACATCTGAGCTTTTTGTTCCTTCTGAAAGCCACAGTGGCCTATTGCAAGCCGGTTCCTTCCCCTTGTTCAGCTTCCTCGGCACTTCTCTACATCATCCCCGCTGCTCTTTTTAAATGTCACAGTGCCTTCTCCTCACTCTGACCCGCCGTCCTCCCTCCCACGGGGGCTCCTGCGATTCCACAAGGTCTGTGTGGACAGTTGAGTCCCTCTTGCTGTGGTCATCCCAGAACCGTCTCTGCCACCCTGCCATGGCCATGGGGAACCTGGTGTGACGCAGCTCCACTGAAAAGCTCTTCGTGCCTAGCTGGGGACACCACGGCTTTGTGACAAGTCATCGGCGATCCTTCCCCCAGCTGCTGTCCCTTCTCTGTCCCGCTCACATTAACTCCTCCTACCCGCAATTCTGGGCCAACACCTAGAGCAAACAGGAGAGAGTGGAGAGGGCAAGAGAGCAGGAGGAGGGGGGAGGGGGCTCGCCTCCAGTGGGAAGAGAAGTGGTTGTGTTCTCTTCTCTCCCAGCAAATTTTCTTGTGCTTTTCGTCATTAAAGAATTTCCCCCTGCCTTCCAGCTAAAACCCATCACTGTTAAAGGTCTGCATTTGCCATAATTTAATTGTAACAAGACACTTTCCTAACTGAGCAGGTAATGCAGACTTGAACAACTTAGCACCGCCCTTATCTCTGTTCCACTTTGTTGCTTTGCTTTGCTTTGCTTTGCTTTGCTTTGCTTTGCTTTGCTTTGCTTTGCTTTGCTTTGGGATGGGCTTTCACACTGTAGTCCAGGCTGGTCTTGAGCTCACTGGTTCAATTCCCAGCACCCACATGGCAGCTCACAATCGTCTGTAACTCCAGCCCTAGGGGGACCTGATGCGCTCTCTGTGGGCACTGAATGATCATGGGACACAGTCATAAATGCAGGCAAAACACCCATGAGCATAAAATAGAATAGTACTAATTGGTTTCTACCTAATTTTTAAACATATGCAAGAATGTAATTAGCATTAATTATCACAAGGTGATTTTTTTTAACCTGGAAGTCTACATTATTATTTTTCTGTGATGGATATGCACTGCTTTATATATTTTAAGTGCATTAGCAAAATACTTTACATGATAAGGAATATTGAGTGCTCCGAGGAAACCCACTAATTAAAAGAATTAGTTTTTTAAATCTTGGCGTTTACTTTATCAACCTTGGCTTTTTGCAGATACTGAATTTAACAAAGGTTGCTGCAGTTACCCACGTGTGCCATCAGAGGGCGCCAGAGCAGGTTACTGATATTTCTCAGCAGAAACGCTGTAGCATGGTCGCAAGGCGTTTCTTCTTGCAGACTTAAAATAGGCGAAAAATTCTCTGGATAGAATAAATGTTTGTTAGTGATATATTTTAGTACATTTTTTCAACGTACAAAAAAACTAACAGTACCACTTCCCTGAAGCTCATATTTTCGAACATTCAGGAGATATGAAGACTCTAACACTTAACTTGGACTGTTTACCATCTTCAAGTTGCTAGGAAGGATCCAGACAAGTAATAAGGATTGCTCGTTGAAGCGGCCAGTTGTCAATGGAGCATACCAGTATCCAATGTGGTGCAACCCCCAGCCCACCCCCCACCCCCGACAGGTCGCTGTTGCTCCTTCCTCTGCACACTCCACAGGGTTCCCTCGGGTGTGGGGAAGGGGGCGGGGGAAGCCTGATTTCACACCTGTCCCACACCCTGAACCGGTGTAGAGCTCTCTTCTAAAGAATGAGTGTGTCACAGAAAAGCCTAGAAAGTCCTAAGAGCTCACAGCTGGGGAAGCGCAAGAATGTCATAGCCGTCTTTAAAAGATGGGCCAGCATAAGATGCCATGTGGGAACACAGGGATGAGTCTGTGACCCTGGGACGCCATTGTTTGCACTTGCCTGTGGGGGATATAACCGGAAATGCGCATTGCTCCAACAGTCACCTTTAAGGATTTTCCTCTCCTCCATTTGGGAAGAACAAATTCTACCAGAGGACAATTACCCTTCACCCATCACCACCACCACCACCACAGCCTCTAGGGTTGCCAACTGTGGTAGAAAATGCTTTCCCCTATGAAAAGCAATGTGGCCATATTGAACTGCAGCATGGGGTGGGGGTGGGGTGCGTCTGAGGGTCAGCATTCCTCTGTAAGCAGATAGCATCAAAAAGTGGAGTAAACAGTTCAGTGAGAGAATCCTTTTTAAAGCATAACTACACAGGGATAGCACCGCCTAGCTCAGAGGTAAGCTCAGGAGATTGAGAATCAAGCAGGCTTTACCCTGTGAAAATGAGGGTGGATCTTAACCCAGCCAGCAAATCACAGGATGAGCTGGCCTCCATTTCCTCAGGCTGGACTTCAGATCCTATGCTGTTGAAATCCTTTCCAGAAACCAGAGTTCCAAGGGTGACGCCATCACTCCTCGGACAGGGACAGTCTAACTGTGTCTCCTGTTCTTCCTGCAGCTTGACCATTACCCTGCTGTGAGTTACCATCTGCCCAGCTCCTCTGACACGCTCTTCAACTCTCCCAAGTCACTCTTCCTTGGGAAAGTTATAGGTAAGTCTTTGGTTCTTACAGTTTGGTGTTAAGAATGCACCTGACTCAAGTCTGACATTGTAGTAAGTGCAAATTTGCATTTGACCTCTCTCAATGAGGTCAACCCTGAGCATCCTCCGTGGTGGTTGACAGTGGCTCCCAGGAGGGTTACAAAACCTTCTTTGAGGTATTGCTCATGTGTTGAGGCTGCCAATTACACCTGTGATGTGCATTCTGATTAGCATAGCAGGCATCTCAGGCATCTCAGGCATCGCCTGAAATGGAGCTAGCGTTCGATGACATCTATATAAAGCAAGATGCAATTATCAGCTCCCAGATTCCCTCTGTAAAATTTGTTCTTCGGGGTATTAAAGGCCTCTGCTGATGTACATTTAATTTAACTTCTTCCCTACGAATCACTCCTAATAAACATGTCTAATGTCATTTGCAGATTATAAGGTCATGAAGTAGAGGACTCATCCCTACATGTGACTGAATTTATAACCACCCTCGCCCTCCCCTTCCATAAGGAAATGGGAGTTATCTAGATGAAAATGAGGTGCTATTGCTCACAAATAGTTTTAGTGTTTTACATGAAGCCAACAAAATTCCTCTGTCCTGTGAGAATGTCTGTCATGAAGCAGATGTCAGTGTCAGCATGAAGCAAAGCCCACATCTCAAGGGCTATAAAAGATCACTTACCTGAGCCTCACAGGCATGACTATGGCCAGGGATCGTGGTTTAGATTGCCTCAAATAACATGTTCCAATGTGGACTAATTACATGAGCTTTTATAGTCATAAGACATGCCATAAAGCAAAACACTGTTCAGACGCATTGGTGGGATGTCACAGCAAGGCAGGGGACATCTGTTATATGTTTTATCTGATGATGTATTTAGCTGGGGGGTTGGTAAAAGAATGCTTTGTTAATACATTCCAAACTTCTGCCTGAGTGAAAGCATGTCAGGTGGACAATGAATAGTTGAAAGGACTGGAAAAAATAGCTTGGTTCTGGATCTGCAACTTTCCAACTGCTCACAGTCACAAAGTTCTCACCAGTCAATCAAACTGCTCAGTCACAAAGCTCTCACCAGTCAGTCAAACTGCTCACAGTCACAAAGCTCTCACCAGTCAGTCAAACTGCTCACAGTCACAAAGCTCTCACCAGTCAGTCAAACTGCTCACAGTCACAAAGCTCTCACCAGTCAGTCAAACTGCTCACAGTCACAAAGCTCTCACCAGTCAGTCAAACTGCTCACAGTCACAAAGCTCTCACCAGTCAGTCAAACTGCTCACAGTCACAAAGCTCTCACCAGTCAGTCAAACTGCTCACAGTCACAAAGCTCTCACCAGTCAGTCAAACTGCTCACAGTCACAAAGCTCTCACCAGTCAGTCAGCCTTTAGAATATTTGACATAGGTATGGCTTTTTTTTTTTCTGGGCACTTCAGTCTATGATAACCTCAGGGAAATGTCACTCTGTCCAGTGGGCCCTGGTAATTTTATTTCACCAGGCCACTTTGCCTGTTGTACAGTATGCCAATTTGTGAAACCACAAGTTCTTCAAAACTGAATTTACTCACAAGACAGCCAGACATGAGGAAAAGGAGCCTATGAAGCCATGTGCACCTTCCCAAGATAAGGTTTACAGGTTTTCATAAGATAAGGAAACAGGGTGTTCTGAGGTGTGAGGGATGGTGACCAGAGGTCAAGAGGGGTGACGTGATCAGTAACCTGCATATGCAAACATTGTCTTCATAGCTCTTCACAGAATATATGTTTTGAAAATAGCCTTTTCAGTGTGCTCTGTGAGTGGAATCTGGGGCCCTGTGATGTCAGAAGGTTGCCTGTCAATCATTTATATAGATCCAAAAAACAGGGCCTCAGCTAATTTGAGCTAGGCAAGGTTATCTGGAAAACACAACTTAATCTGTCTTTACCAAAGTGACCTATCATTAATCCCAAAGATGAGAGGAAAAAGACCACCCACCCAAATCATCAAATTAATTAAAGCAATCAATTAATTAAAGCAAACCTTTTTACTTGTGTACACAGGCTGTTTCCCCTAAGGCCGAGTTCAAGAAGTCAGCTTTGAATGTGAAAAGATATGGTTTTTATAGCTCAGAGGTAGGGGGCTTACCAATGGGGGGATTGGCAGGCAAAATAGGCAGAGTTACAGGAATAGAACATAACAAGGTGATCAAAACAAGGTAATTAGAGCAAGGCAGTCATAGCAACCTTTTGAAACAAAGGTGGGGTTGCAAGATGGTATACAACTCCTTGAAACAAAAGCATGATAGCAAGGTGGTCCTAAGGTGACCATAATAAGCTTTTGAAACAAAGGCATGGTTGTCATTTCCTGGAACAGGCAATATAGAGCCATTTGTAGCTAAAGTTATAGGTAATGTGTAACAATAAGTCTTTCTGCCAGGTCACCCAAGTTCTGCCTGCTGTCACATTAAGGTCCCAAGTAACACAGAGACTTATATTAGGTATAAATGCTGCTTGGCCAATGACTATAATTTCTCACCTGCTAGCTCAGTCTTAATTATCAACCATAATCATAAGACTTATCTTATGATGGACACAGGCAGAATGTGTCCTGTCTTCCTGGTGGTCACATAGTGACTCCTGAGCAGAGAGCAGGAGGAGGAGCAAGAGCAAAAGGGACGACTTCCTGCTTGTCCTTGCTAAAATATGAGTCTGCCTGCTATGCCACTTCCTGCGTGTATCACAAGACTTTTTTTTACTACATTTCCCAGAACCCTCCTTGATGCATAGTCCTACCTATCTTTCTGCCTCATTGGCCAAACAATGCTTTATTCATTGACCAATAAGATAAATATACACAGAAGGACATTCCCCATCAGTAGGGCATACCCCAATCTTTGAAAAACAGATTTAATCATAAGTAGGAATGAGTTTGTCTTTACTATAAGATGGTTTGCAAGCCTAAGATGGGGGCAGACTGGTTCGTCACTAACATATTTGAGACAATCAGTCTAAAGACAGCAGGGTCTCTCACTTTACTATTTGGTTCTGAGACTCCCAAAACTATTGGGTAGGCTGAGAATAAAAGTCCAGTGCTACTGGAAGCTTCTTTGGAGTTTCCCTGGTTCTAAAGAAAGAACCTTTACATGAGAGAGAGAGAACAGCTTATACCTCTCATAAGAAAAAGAATTGGTTGGCTTCATTATCGAGACTTGGTTACATCAGTCAGAGAGCATTAATAAAAACATGGTTGCAGGGTCACAATAGGAGGAACAAACAGGAGATGAACCTGTAATGGAAGCGATAATGGACTTGTACATCTCGCCTACATAGACTCCATTTTTAAGCACTCCAGCTGTATTAACCCCTTTGACTTCCATCACAATTCCAGGAAAGTACTGAGATTATGATCTCCCTTTGTAGATGACAAAACCAGGTACAAATATGTAAAGTAGCTGCCCACTGTCTCCTGGCTGACAAGTGGCAGAACCAAACTTGAAGCCAGGCAGGAAGATATGAAACCAGCTCTTGACAGATGTGCTGTTGTCTCTAGGACAGGAAACATAGAAATGAAGAGGAGAAAGGCAGACAGCAAGAACTGATGGAGAAATGCAAAGCTAAGGCAGACCAACAGGCATTGAGGTTTCTATGACATGCCAGAAAGTGGGAATGACCCTTCTTTAGAACCAGGAACACATCCATCTTGTTGCTCTGTGAGACAGTTAGGCCACTAGGTGAGTATAGAAACCAAGAAGGAAAGGCCACATATTCTGAGTTGGTAGAAAGGGCGGTCGATAGCAAAGATGGAATTGGAACAAGAATGAGAGCTGCGACATATTGGCTGTCAGCACTTCAATTTTTGTACAGTGTGAACAAATAGCTACCCTTTAATACTTTGTGTCCTAAAAATAAAAGGCTGCCATGATGTCAAATATAGACCTAACTACACTGTCCTTGTTGGTAGTCTCTAGTCATTTTCTGCATTTCAAAGGTCTTACGATTTTATGAAATAAGAAGACTAATTTTGCAGCATATCAAATGTTGTATACATGAATATGATGGGGTACATAACACAACAACGCAATGAAACAAGATCTGTCATTATTATCCCCTCTTCCACATGAGACTGAGGGTTAACTCATCTGATGTGTGAGAAAGTGGTTTTGAAATCATGTCAACCCTGGATGTGCCTCTATCTTAGAAGCAGGTCCACCAGAAATTGGCTCTCATCCTCACTCGTCAATGAGATCCCTGTAGACCAAGACAGGAGCAACACTGAAAGAATGCTTGTTGAACTAATGATCATGGGAAAAGAATAAGAATGAACAGCATTGACATAGCTTGTGATGTCATAGGTCAACACACAATAAGGTCAGTGTTGTGCCCAAATTCTGAAACCCCAAAATCACCAAGAGACCCATTTCAATGCAAAAGCAAAGAGTCTTTTATTATAGTTGTTTAACGTGCTAACCCCATTAGCTTGGGCCAGGGAGGACAGCTAGAGAAAAGACCCCGAGAAATCACAAGGCTGGGAATATATCAGATAGTGTAAGGGGAGTGTCTAGGGGTATGCAACAGTCTCAGGATTAGTGCGCTTCCAGGCTTAGGTAACTTGTCCTGTGTTGATTGGTCAATTGGTTGTTATGGCCTATAGCCCTCCCAGGGCAGTTGCTATGGTCTGCACAGCACTGTTGTGCACTTGTACTTAAAGCACAGCCCTGCCAGCTAACTTCTGAATGGTTCCTTGCCACGAGGATATCTAACCTCCTAGTGAGTAAGACAGGAGGGGCAAGGTCAGGGGAGCACATGTTAGCCTGTCATGGCTGCTAAAGCAGGGTGCTGGTCCCTTCAGTCAGCATAGAGATGGTCAGTCCTCACCTGGTTTACAGCCTTGTCCTTTGTTGAAAGCTTTTGTTTTGCTTGCTTGCTTGCTTGCTTGCTTGCTTGCTTGCTTGCTTGCTTGCTTGCTTGCTTTGCTTTGCTTTGCTTTAGTTAGAGATCTGACAATAATGAACTAGAAAGAATGCAG